ATTACAAGTAGGCAGAGAGGCAGTCAGAGAGAGGAGGAAGCAGGCTCCCTGCTGAGCAGAGAGCCTGATGTGGGGCTCAATCCCAGGACCCTGGGGATCATGACCTGAGCCAAAGGCAGAGGCTTTAACTCACTGAGCCACCCAGGCGCCCCTGGCCCTCTCTTTCTTAAAGCCAGAGTGGATTTCCTCATTTTTTTATTCCATCATTCATCAGACATTGGTTTAGTATCAAGTATGGGTCAGGGACTATTGTAGACATTGTGAATATAGCAATGAACAAAATAAAATCTTGGATTCCTGGAGTTCATATTCAGTAAGGGAGTTAGACTTTATGTATCTATAATATATAAATATTATCATTAGGCAATATATACATATTTATACATGTAAAATGTAACTTTCTCACTTAAAGTTGTCAGCTGGAGATAATAGAGGAAAAACAGAGCAAGATAGAAGAGATAGGAATTCAAGAACTGAGAAAACAGTAGAATGATATTTTATGTAGTATTTCAAGCTCTCTGTGGAGTGTGAAATCAATGTATCCCTGTGATTACTGAGCCCAGAACATTGTAGGTACTCAAACAGTATTTATTTAATAATTAATGATTAAATCAACCTCTTGATCAGAAAGGTAGTAGGAGAGGGAGAAAAGAAAGACAGAGATAGCTGAGAGAGAGGAAATGTTTAAATCAGTTTCAGAATGATCAAAACTACACGATTCTATATTATTATGATCACAAGGATTAGCTATTGAGAAGTGGCTCTTAAAACTTCCCATGCAGGGACGCCTGGGTGGCTCAGTTGGTTAAGCAGCTGCCTTTGGCTCAGGTCATGATCCCAGTGTCCTGGGATCGAGTCCCGCATCGGGCTTCTTGCTTATCAGGGAGCCTGCTTCTCCCTCTGCCTCTGCCTGCCATTCTGTCTGCCTGTGCTCGCTCTCTCTCCCTCTCTCTCTCTGACAAATAAATAAATAAAATCTTTAAAAAAAAAAAACAAAAACAAAAACTTCCCATGCAGGCCAGGGCACCTGGGTGGCTCAGTTGGTTACGTGTCCAACTCTTGATTTTGGCTCAGGTCATGATCTCAGGGTGGTGAGACTGAGCCCCGCTTGGGCTCTGGGCTCTGCACTGGGCACATAGCCCAAGATTCTCTCTTTTCCTCTCTCCCCCAGCTCCTAGCACATTTTCTCTCTCTTAAAAAAAAATCATGCAGGTCAATCTCACTAGAATTGGCCATGACAGGCTGCAAAATCAGTAAACCTAAAGGCATTCACACAGTTTACAGATCACCTAAGACAAGTACATCCAAGTTCAAAGCCCTCTGTTCCTGCTGAGATTACAGGAACCAAGTCACACACAGGTATTTTGAACATGGTGAATATTCATAATAAGTCAATTGTCCTATAACGTTAAATTATTAGGTGGTTTGGCAACTTGCATATCTTTTCTCATTTCACTACCTTTTAATTCTTTGACATTTGTAGTTTTAAAATTTCTACTTACATAAAATTGAGAAAAACAGATGATATTAATAGATAGCAACGTTGTGGGAAATGGAACCTCAGTTATAAATATCGACGTTTACTTTAAGGCCAGGTTTAATTTTCAAACTATTTAATGTACACATCACAAAAATATTTTGATAATATTTTGTGCTTTTCAGACACGACTTATGAACCAGCATTCTTCACTTTCTCCTTTTTATTTGAAACGTTCATTATTCAGAGTGATTGGCCATTTCTAAAATCACCAAAATGAATTTAGTCAGGACGTGTTCCTCTTTACATCTTCAGCCAAGAATATCTGGGGGGAATTGCGGATGCAGACTCTCAGCTATTGGACTGTGACTTCATAATTTGTATATAATGTCCCTAAAAGCAAAATGCTCTCCACCATTGAAATGAAAAGGCAAAATCAAAGCTCTGTGGCTGAATTCATCCTCCTGGGCTTTTCTGACTTTCCTGAACTCCAAGAGCAGCTCTTTGGGGTTTTCTTGGTTGTCTACCTGGTGACTCTGTTGGGAAATGTCATCATTATAGTCATCATCTCCTTGGAACAGAGCCTCCATGTGCCCATGTACCTGTTCCTCCAGAACTTGTCTGTGGTGGACGTGAGTTTCAGTGCAGTCATTATGCCTGAAATGCTGGTG